ACTACTCGAGTTGTGATGGCTTAGCTTATACTATCATGTGAATGGAAGTGCATTGCTTTCAGTCTTATTGTGACTAATTAATCTATCATTTGTGTGTTCTTGCAACAGCAAAAAGAAATTGGGGACTGATTCTAGGCACAGGTACATGTTATAATCATTAACTTTTAACTATCTCTAGACTTGCACAAAAATCTCTTTTTTGTTTTGCTCAAACTTGAAATTCTTTTCTATGTTAATGAAGGATTCTATAATGATGTTCCAAACATGCAGCGGAATCAAACTAACAGTCCTACCAAGATCTATTTGTGTTTAAAATTTGTTTAGACTAAACAAGGAAGTGTGAATAAATACCTGTAAGAAATTTATCTTCTAATCTCTTGGACGAACTCTAGGAGAAAGCTCTTGTGAGAAGGTGTAGCTTCGATGGTACGAAGGCTCTATGCATATCTATACCGAGATTGATTCTAGCTATCAACGCCTTGATCAACGGAATAAGAAAGAAACTTGGCAAAGTAGCCAAAAGTTCTTCCTTTCCTGTTGGTGCCCGTCACTTTTCGTCAAAAGTGTGCATGTGTTTTTTCTTTCTGCTAAAAGCTATTTTAGCATTGTTGTAATAATCGCCAAGAGATTTATTACATGGGCATGACTTCACTTTTTCCCACATTTGCAGTTTTCTCGATGTTTTGCACTGGAATCTTGATTTTGCTCTTCTACTTCAGAAAAAAGATTTTCTGGCACAAATACTTCAGATTTTGGGAATCTGAAGCTGAGGATCACTGAAATATTGAAGCCTTTCTGAAGAGCTATGGATCATATGCTCCAAAGAGATACAACTATTCAGAGGTCAAAAGAATCACCAGTGGCTTCAAAAACAAACTAGGTCAAGGAGGATTTGGTTCTGTATACAAAGGAACTCTTCCCAATGGAAGTCATGTGGCAGTGAAGGTCCTGAATGAACTAAAAGGAAGTGGTGAAGAATTCATTAACGAGGTGGCAAGTATTAGCAGGACATCACACGTTAACATCGTGAACCTTGTGGGATTTTGTTTTGAGGGTCGCAAAAGAGCACTCATTTATGAATTCATGCCAAATGGATCTCTAGAAAAGTTTATCTATGAGGAAAGATCTGACAATGTTCGCAAATTGGGTTGACCAATATTGTACAAAATTGCACTAGGCATTGCTCGAGGATTGGAGTACTTGCATCGTGGTTGTAACACTCGGATTTTGCATTTTGATATAAAGACTCATAATATCCTACTTGATGACGATTTTTGTCCTAAGATCTCCGACTTTGGTCTTGCAAAACTCTGTGTCAAAAAGGAGAGCGTTGTGTCGATGCTAGGTGCACGAGGGACTATCGGTTATATAGCTCCAGAAATAGTATGCAGAAACTTGGGAGGTGTCTCTCACAAGTCTGACGTCTATAGCTACGGAATGATGGTCCTAGAGATGGTTGGAGGAAGGAAGAATGTTGATGTTGGAGTTGATCGCACAAGTGAAATCTACTTTCCACATTGGCTTTATCGACGAATTGAACTAGACGAAGAGCTTCAACTAATCGGGATAATGAATGAAGAGGAGAAAGAATGTGCAAGAAAGATGGTGATAATGAGTTTATGGTGCATACAAACTGATCCCTCGAATCGACCATCGATGAGCAAAGTTGTGGAAATGTTAGAAGGAAACCAAGACTACTCTTTGCAAATACCTCCTAAGCCTTACCTATACTCTTCCTCAAGATCAGAGGAAGACTCATCATCAGTAGCAGAACTGAGATAATCTTTATTTGTTGATATATCAACTATTATTTGTGTAGTCTTGTTCTGTTATGGAATTTTAGCAAAACCTGGTACTGTTTGTGTCCGTTTCTCTCCTTGGAAGAGGGTGGCAGGTTTGTTATTAAAGTCGTTTGGTTGGAAAGAAGTTATCCTAGGATTAATTATTTGCGGGATTAGTTATTCCGGAATTAGGTATTCCACCTTTTCATGGGGATAAAAAATACTATAATTCTGGGATAACTAATTCTGGATTAATTATACTGCAATTTTCTCCAAACCAAACATGAGATAAACTCTTCTTAAATTTAGTTTCGGGATTAATTATTTCTTATCCCTTGTTCCAAACGAGCCCTTGATGTTCTTGAGTGCAGAAGTTGTAGCTTCATGCTTTTTAAAAAAAAAAAAAGTGATTGTAAATATATTTGTGATTTGCCTAAAGCAATTTCAGAACTGCTGGTAGGGGAGTCTTGGCGTAATCGGTAAAGTTGCTGCCATGTGACTAGGAGGTCACGGGTTCGAGCCACGAAAATAGTCTCTTGCATAAATGCAGGATAAGGCTATGTACAATAGATCCTTGTGGTCCGTCCCTTCCTCGGACCCCGAGTGTAGCGGAAGCTTAGTGTACTAGGCTGGCTCTTTTTATTCAGAACTACTGGATAGGATCTAATGTTGTTGCCATGTGACCAGGAGGTCACGGGTTCGAGTCGTGGAAACAACCTCTTGTGAAAATGCAAGGTAAGACTGTGTGCAATAGATCCTTGTGGTCCGGCCCTTCCTCGGACACTGAGCATAACGAGAGCTTACTGCACCAGACTGTACTTTTTTTTTCTTTTTAATTTCAGAACTGCTGGATAGGACCTAATGACATTGTATATTTATCCTCCTAAATGAATTTAAAGCCATTTTAGCAATAAATTACAGCCATCCCAAAAGCTCAGCTTGTGCCCTGCAACTGTGTAGAAAAGATGTTACTTATAAGTTGTTATTTATGTCACATTCAATAAAAAAAGAACTACACCTAAAAAATTTAGAAGTTACTGTCTGAACTCCAAAAATTCAAATGTAGCAATGCTTTTTGGACTAAGGGAATATCTTAAAGCAAATTGAAAATTGAATATCAGCTCTGGAAAAAGTTGTTGTCCATTATTAGAAACAATACATTAGAAAAAGACATGAACAAATTTAACCCTAAGTCAAAAATGGATTAAGTATATATACAGTTCGTATAAAAAAATTATGCTGAAAACGTGTTTTAACGTATTATCAGCTCTGTTTATCCCTTGATTTTATTGATGAACATAGCAGGTTACAACTCTGTTTATCCCTTGATTCTTCCCTCCGATTAATTCTACGTGATTCGAAGGCCTTAGCGGCATATTTCTCGAACGTAGGACTTTTAGAACTTTAATCTCTTAATGAATATTTCAAGAGTTTCATGGCGTATTTCTCGAACGTAGGACTTTTAGAACTTTAATCTCTTAATGAATATTTCAAGAGTTTCATGGCGTATTTCTCGAACGTAGGACTTTTAGCAAGATAATTTGACATGTCTTTGATCTCTTAAAGAATATTCCAAAAGTTTCATGGCGTATTTCTCGAACGTAGGACTTTTAGCAAGACATATTTGATATACATGCCTTTGATCTCTTAATGAATATTCCAAAAGTTTTATGGAATTTCGTCTCATATTTGATCTCTTTGTGCATATTCCGAGAGTTTATGGAATGACTGAGATCGTCTTTGAAGGACATATGTAGCCTTATTTATAGGCATGAATTAGGATTTGGTTGGAATAGCCACCAAGTAACCCTAATAGACTCCTACAACAACAACAACAACCCAGTATATTCCCACAAGTGGGGTCTGGGGAGGGTAATATGTACGCAGACCTTACCTAATAGACTCCTAATATTTTAAAAATTATCTTGAATTTAGAATTTATATTGATCTGTTAAAATTTGAAAGAATTACAAGAAAATACACATGACTTCACACCATAACAAAAAATGGCCCATGTTTTTAAGTTTTATCCCACCTAGCCTATATTGTACATATTTTGAAAACACTAACTCTTGAAAATTCAAAATATGTGTTCTTATAACCATTGCTTCTAAAAGCTATGAAGTTAAATCTGTGTTCTCACAACCATTATTTTCACTCTCTCTTCTTCTCACTTTTTTTTACATATGCTTCAAGGGGCCATCCGCCATTACTGCTTCTCCCCCTATAGCACCTGGTTGTAACGTAAAAAAATTGAAGAGTAGAAGTCCACCATTAAAGGGCATTGAAAGCTTTGCTTTAAAAAATAGAATTTCTTGTAATTATTAGTTGTTTGGATTGGGTGTTGTTCCAATTGATTGAAAATATCAAAAGGAGTTCAAAGTTTAAATTTGAAGTGATTTGGAGTAGATTTGAGCAAGATTTGAGTTAAATTTCAGAAAAAAAGCAAGGAAGAAGACGAAGTCAGTTTTTTGTATAATTATGTATAATCTCGTATAATAGTGTATATGAGTGTATAAACACATCGTATACACTATTATACACTTTTATACACCTTTATACAAACGTCTGTAGACGAACTTCTTTCACGATTTTCAGTTGCAATTCCTATTCAAAACCAGTCCAAATCTCCATTAAATGACTTCAAATTTTATATACAACCTCCTTATACTATTTCTAACAAGTCTAAATAACACCCACTCCAAATTTCTCACAAAATCAAATTCGGAATTTAAACCCACATATTTAAGCTTGTTAAAAATTTAATTTTCACCACCCAAATGGATTTGGTTTGTTGAACTAATATTTGAGTCACAATTACTAATTCGAAAGTTAACTTAAAAGCTTGAGCAATCCTTTTAAAATTAAATGGTAATTTCGAGAACCTATTAGAGTTGGATGTTGAATCTTAGCCTATTATTTTTGGGCTAGTGGGTTGTAAATTGAAATATAATCTATAAAATTTAAAAATGGGAAGCCCAATTGTTCTCATGTGAAATTATCCCTTAAAATTTTCACTGTGTACGGAATCATTTGCGGCGGCTTCAATCGATAGGAGGAGGATTAATAGAAAATTATCCATTGTGTAAAACAGTAAAAGCCCACACTCCATTTTAGCCAATCTTCCATCAGACAGTCTTTCTTCAAAGTCTTGCTTCCACATGTTTAAGTCAACTTAACGTGTCCAAAAGACAACAAATATTATTGCAAATCCTATAGCCAAGCAAAATTAAACAATAAAAGAAACTCTACAAACTTCATTTTTTTTAAAAACATTCTTGGTTAGTCTTGTTAATCTTATTGTTGCTGTTGATGGTTTTTCCTTTTTTTTAATCCAAAAGGGTATATCATGGATTTATTTTCTTGGTTTTTTATTTCCATTTTGTTTCAATTTTGGTGCTTTGATTCAGCTCAAGGACAGAACACATCCTTCTCAAGTTGCACTAAAGAATTCCAATGTGGAAACTTAGGAAATTTGAGCTTTCCTTTCTACAAATCCACACAACTTGATTGTGGTTTGTGTAAAGTGAATTGTGAAGCTACTCCAAATCCCATAATTGAATTGGATGGAGTGAAATATCAAGCTCTTGAAAAACAGGAAAGTTTCATCAAAATTAAGGACACTATTCTTGGAAACCTTTTGGGAAACAAGAGTTGCCTATCTTTTGATAGAAATCTGTCTCTACCAATCTCTCCTTCAATCAAATATAGAATCAGCTCCTTTCTCACTTTGTTCAAATGCAATAATAGCCAAAAGATACATGAAGAAGTTTTCACTTCCACAAGATATCACAGCTACAATAGCTGTGAAAGTTTCATATTATACTATAACCTCTCAATGGATTACTATCCAGGATTTCCTCTTCCTAGTAGCTGTTCCTTTATTCGGCTGCCTGTGCCATCGAATTCAGAATCAAAATCAGAAAACAATGGCCTATTTGATATGTTAACTGATGAAGTTGTACTAGTATGGATTGTGTCTGATGAGTGTAATCAGTGTTATTACAGAGGAGGCCAGTGTCAAACTGATAAAACTACTAACAAATTTCTTTGTTATAATACCAAAGGTAAAAGAACTTTTGTCATGGTTCACATTAATGATTTTGGTTCTCTTTTATAAACCTTGGTTTAGCTTACATTTGCATTGTTTACTACAGTTGCAGGAAATATAAAAGGGAAAGTGATTGTTGCAGGTACTTATCTATACTACCATTTATCTACAGTTTTTTTGTTGTCCATCACATGATTTTAGCCTTTATAGTTTTATTTCTTCAATAGCAAAGATAACAATAACAACAAACTCAGTGTAATCCGACAAAGTAAAATTTGGGGAGGGTAGAGAGACTGTTTCAGATAGACCTCGGCTCAACAAAAAAAAAAAGAAGCAAAAATAACAATTGGAACAACAGTGATAAAGTGATAAGGAGATAGAGTAATCGAAGAAAACAAACCAACAACTAGTAAAAGAAATCTGTAGACAAGCAGATATGGACATACGATATTAATACTAATGCAACCTGCATGAAAAGGAAACACGCCCGCCTACGGACTAACCTTCTACCCTAATCCCCAACCTCCAAATCCTCCTATCAAAGATCATGTCCTCGGTAAGTTGGAGCATATCCTACCTAATCACCTCTCCCCAAGAGAAGTAGATATGGACATACGAGACTAATACTAATGCAACCAGCATGAAAAGGAAACATGCCCGCCTACACACTAACCTTCTACCATAATCCTCAACCTCCAGACCCTCCTATCAAGGGTCACGCACTCAGTAAGCTGGAGCTACATCATGTCCCGCCTAATCACCTCTCCCCAAGACTTTTTAGGTCTTCTCAACCCCCATAGGCAACCCCTCGCACCTCCCACCGAGGCATCTACGCTCCTCCTCTTCACGTGCCCGTACCATCTTAGCCTAGCTTCTTGCATTTTATCCTCCATGAGGACCACTGTCACCTTGACCCGAAAATCATCATTCCTAATATAAACTCTCCTGTATGCCCACACATCTATTTCAGCGAAGATAGACAAAGCTAAATACTTCTTTCCATTTCGCTCTTTCAAAATCTTTCTTTTGTAAATAACTACTGTACTAGATGAATTGCCCCAATAACAGACTCTTCCTGGTATGTGACTTCATTTTTTTTTTCCCACAGTCGCAAGTTTCTTGATCTCCTGCACTGGAATCTTGATTTTGCTCTTCTGCTTCAGAAAAAAGATTGTATGGAACAAGTACATCAGGTTTTGGGAATCTAATGCTGAGGATCACAGAAATATTGAAGCATTTCTGAAGAACTATGGATCATATGCTCCAAAGAGATACAACTATTCAGAGGTCAAAAGAATCACCAGCCGCTTCAAAAACAAACTAGGTCAAGGAGGATTTGGTTCTGTATACAAAGGAACTCTTCCCAATGGAAGTCATGTGGCAGTGAAGGTCCTGAATGAACTAAAAGGAAGTGGTGAAGAATTCATTAACGAGGTGTCAAGTATTAGCAGGACATCACATGTTAACGTCGTGAGCCTTGTGGGATTTTGTTTTGAGGGTCGCAAAAGAGCACTCATTTATGAATTCATGCCAAATGGATCTCTAGAAAAGTTTATCTATGAGGAAAGATCTGACAATGTTCGCAAATTGGGCTGGCCAATATTGTACAAAATTGCACTAGGCATTGCTCGAGGATTGGAGTACTTGCATCGTGGTTGCAACACTCGGATTTTGCATTTTGATATAAAGCCTCATAATATCCTACTTGATGATGATTTTTGTCCTAAGATCTCCGACTTTGGTCTTGCAAAACTCTGTGTGAAAAAGGAGAGCGTTGTGTCGATGCTAGGTGCACGAGGGACTATCGGTTATATAGCTCCAGAAATAGTATGCAGAAACTTGGGAGGTGTCTCTCACAAGTCTGACGTCTATAGCTACGGAATGATGGTCCTAGAGATGGTTGGAGGAAGGAAGAATGTTGATGTTGGAGTTGATCGCACAAGTGAAATCTACTTTCCACATTGGCTCTATCGACGAATTGAACTAGACGAAGAGCTTCAACTAATCGGGATAATGAACGAAGAGGAGAAAGAATGTGCAAAAAAGATGGTGATAATGAGTTTATGGTGCATACAAACTGATCCCTCGAATCGACCATCGATGAGCAAAGTTGTGGAAATTTTAGAAGGAAACCAAGACTACTCTTTGCAAATACCTCCCAAGCCTTACCTATACTCTTCCTCAATATCAGAGGAAGACTCATCATCAGTAGCAGAACTGAGATAATCTTTGTTTGTTGATATGTCAACTATTATCTGTGTAGTCTTGTTCTGTTATGGAATTTTAGCAAAAGCTGGTACTGTTTGTTTCTGTTTTTCTCCTTGGAAGATGGTGGCAGGTTTGTTATTAAACAATATACTTAGATGTTCTTGCCTAAAGTAATTTCAGAACTGCCGGAAGGGGAACCTTGGCGTAAGCCGTAGCTAGTAAAGTTGCTGCCCTGTGATACGCGTTCGAGCCGTGGAAATAGCCTCTTGCAGAAATGCAGGGTAAGGCTGCGTACAATAGATCCTTGTGGTTCGGCCCTTACTCGGACCCCGTGCATAGCGGAAACTTAGTACAACGGAGTGCCCTTTTTTAAAGTTAAGAACTGTTGGATAGGATCTAATGACATTGTATATTTATCCTCCTAAATGAATTTAAAGCCATTTTAGCAATAAATTACAGCCATCCCAAAAGCTAAGCTCGTGCCCTGCAACTGTGTGGTCTTCTTGAAACCCATTTCAACTTCCTCTTCCCCTATAACGTTGTAAAGTTTGCTTATCTCTTTGGGCGATTTCATAATATTTCTTACCAACAATCCGAGGTTGAAACATGGTTGACGGTGAATTTAAAGGATTTACCGAACAAAAAGATGTTACTTATAAGTTGTTATTTATGTCACATTCAATAAAAACAAAAACTACTTATTTAGAAGTTTACTGTCCGACTCAAAAAATTCAAATGTAGCAATCCTTTTTGGACTAAGGGAATATCTTAAAGCAAATTGAATATCAGCTCTAAAAAAAAGTTGTTATCCATTATTAGAAACAATAAATTATAAAAAGACATGAAAAATTTTAACTCAAAAATGAATTTAGTATATATACTGATCGTATAAAAAAATCATGCTGAGAACGTATTTTAACCTACGATCAAATCAAATTATCATTTTTATCATGTTGCCTATAAATATTTTTTATTGAAATTTAGTTGTAATTACATTACAAATGATCCGATTCTATAAGTATTTTTTATACGATCAATATATAAAACTAAAACTCGTCAAAAATTTCTAATTTCACTTATTTCCTCCCTTATTTTTCTCTTGACCACATTAGATTTTTTATGGACATCCCTTCTACTACCTTAGTTTTCATGGACATCCACTAAAATTATTATTCTCCCATCTATAAAATCCACCCTTTTGCCTATCATTCTCATATTCTCTTTTTTATTTCCCTTTTAACTTTTTCATTAAAAAAACAAACAACAAGAAAGAACATAGGGAAATTAAAAGAAATAATGGCTAATATCAAGATGACAACTATACTTTTCATTGCCATAATTTTCACTATCTTTGCTTCAAGCAAATTTGCATGGGCACATGAGGAAATACATCCCCATGTTCAACCCCACCCCCACCCACAACCCCAGGGTTCTGAAGGGCCAGTATATGAATATGCAGGACAGAGGTTAAAAATAGAACCAGGACATGAATTATGTTATCAAAAATGTTATCAAGGTATTTTTGCTGGTGAAGGTAGTCCATTATATGCAGAAAAAGAATGCTACGATATGTGCCATAACAATGGTAAATTTGTATTTCCAAACTTTAGTCCTCCACCTTGCGCGAACAAGGTTTAATTTCAATTAACGTATCAGAAATAAGTACTCCCTCGATCTGTTGTTCCAATTTATATGGCGATATTACTATTTAGGGAGTCAAAAAAAGACGTCCGTCTTCAACCAAGCTTTATGGAGGCACGTAAATATTTTTAATTCCATGCCATATCAATTAGCCAACAAAGATTCTTTTTATAATCAGGGTGTTCATGACATTTATAATCAACTATGTATTTATTTTTTTACGTTGGTGATCATTTGTAATTGTAACATGTATATGAAATGAAACATAACATGACATGGATGCCATCAATTTACTGATTAATTGTCTTATATTAATTTTTTGTGGTTACATTTGTTTAAGAATGCGACTTAAGTGTTGGGAACGTGCAATCTGGCGGTGCAATTGGTGTGCGTTTTTTTTTTTTGGGAATTCTTATTAATGTCTTTGGTTTAGAAGATCGATTTTTATGACACATTAAAAATACGGAAAAGGGCCAAATATTGCATTATATTATTAGAAAAGGTTTAAATGTACCCTTCGTTATACTTTGAGTCTAAATATACCTTTGTACTATCAGAAAAAAATTAAATTAGGGGTGTGCATTCAAATCGGTTTATCGATAAATCGAATCGATTATTTGTTATCAGTTTATCGATTTTATCATTTCGATTTCGATTTCGAAATTTTCCTTATCGAGTTACCGATTTCGATTTCGATTTCGATTTTGTCCTCTTCGGTTATCGGTTTATCGATAAACCGATAAGATATACTATAATTTTTTTTTACCTTTATTCTATAATACTCTTTCCTTTACCCTAAGTCTCTAACCCTATTATTTCATCTACCATATTTAAGGAATGATCATATTTAAAGCTCAAGGGAATGAA